CCATGAAACCGCACACCATAAAATGGTACACCGATGGATCACTCACGAATCAGGGCACCGGCCTTGGAGTGGTGGGTCCTCGGGTATTTTACCATGAATCCCTGGGAACGCACACCAGCATATTTCAGGCTGAGGTGTGTGCGATAGGGAGATGTGCGGACATCAACATAGAACGTAACTATCGGAATACGGATATATCCATCCTATCCGATAGTCAAGCAGCATTGAAAGCTATAATGGGGACTAAGATAACATCGAAGGTAGTCCATGAAGTTCGTTCAAAGCTAGACCTGCTCGGGACTCACAACAGGCTCACCCTACGATGGGTCCCGGGTCACAGGGACATAGCGGGAAACGAGGCGGCTGACAAGCAAGCAAGAATGGGGGCAGAAAGGCCCCTAACAGGACCAGAACCGTATTGTGGCATAGGGAGACACACTATACGACTGGAACTTAGAAACGAGGAGAGACAGAGACGGCATCAGAGCTGGTCAGAGGCAGTAGGACTCCGACAAGCCAGATGCCTCCTTGGTGGTTATAATCTTGTACGTTTTAAACAGATTATAACCATGGGAAAGAACAACCTTAGGATACTTACCGGTCTATTGACAGGACACTGTAGACTAAGGAGTCACCTGACAAAATTGGGTATATATAGTAGCGATCTCTGCAGGTTTTGTGAAAGAGAGGAGGAATCCTCGATACACATCCTGGTAGAATGTGTCGCCTTAATTAGAAGAAGAAGCAGCATCCTAGGGGCGCATGTTTTGAATTACAAAGACATAGTAGACCTCAACCCAACAAAGATCCTCACGTTCGTAAGGGAGTTGGGGCTGATGGAAGAGCTATAGGCTCAAAAGGGGGGCACAATAGATCAAATAGGTCGCGGTGCAGCTTCCCCCCTAATAATAATAATAATAATTTTACCAAGTGTTTGTTCTTTTAAACACAACGAACAATTATTTATTGTGAACAGATATTAACTTATTGATGTTTCCACTTATGTATTCAAAAGATATATATTTCTTAAAATGAATATAAAAAAAATAAAATGAGAATCTTTGCATTGTTTTAGACAGTATTTAATACAGTTCACTTTGACAATGCTTAAACGATTGAGAAACTTACAGTATGCCCCATAGTCTCACTTGCTGCCACAAAAATATATTTTAATATGGTTTTATAAGTGTGTTGTCATTAAATCTTTAGCTATATGACGCATATATAAGTTAATAATATCTGCTATGAATATAAATTCGAAATAATCAGTGAGTTGCCGGCGACAGAGCAGTTGCCAATCCGATTTACATATTCAAAGTCAAGGTTTCCAAGTCCCTAGCAAAATGTACAAATAGACATCAGTTTGATTTATAAAGAACTTATATAAGTGGTTGTGAATGATGACTGCTCAACTTTAGAGCAAGATTCAAGGCGACGCCCATCTATATTGGCCCATTCGGGCGTACTGACAGTTAAGCAAATGAGGAGCCCAAATGCGAATGCGTTTTTATTAATGCCGCATATCATTAGATTAGTAAACATGCTCATATAAGAAGTACTTGAACGCACTCTTAACTGCCCCGAATGCTTAACAATAATAATGTTTCGGCATTTATCACACTTTTTTTGTTTGTTTCTTTTTTGTTCTTTTTTTTTTTGTTGCCATGCCAAAGTGACCAAGCAAAGTGGCTCTAAAATTTCAGTGGCATCAACAACAGCAACAACAATAACAGGAGGAGAAAAAACGCAGATAAATAAATGTGGCAACAACAAAGAGCAAAGCGCCATAAATCTAAATAACAAATTTTTACGAGAAACGAGACCATAAATAAGATGTTACTGCGACCGGCCTAGCCTGAGAGCAAATAATAGTGGAAACAGGCCGCATTCCCAGGACCATTTGCAGGGAGCAAAACACCGCAGCCCCTTCCCCGCCACTATCTGGACCAAACTGGATACAATTCCTGAGAGTTCTGTTAATTTAATATTATTACTTTTCATTACAACTGCTCCAGTCTGTCTACTGATGGCTACAGCAAAAAGCTGTTAGTTTTTCGGCGCTCATTCCCTCCGAAATGTCAACACATTAATGTCCCAGGACCTCCGGGGCCGGGGTCATATAAATCAACATTTATCTGCGCGCATCGCTGACAATTGAAAATGACAGCAGTAGCAACCAAAATGACCGCATAAATAAATACTTTCGCCTTCTCATTCGCTTATTACGCAACGCCCTGAACACTGAAAGATGTGAATTCTGAAAAGTGTACGCAATTTATGTTGAAATTGGGGAAATAACACTCCATCTTATAAACATTGCGCTTATCATCGCGAAACAAGCCAAGTGAAGTGCGGTCCAAATGCACATCATTTTTGAAAAGCATTATAGTATTTCTAAATTTCTATATCCATATATATATATATATATCTAATTCTATATCCTTCCAAAAATTTCGACAATAGAAAAGTGAGCGAGAATATTTTTGCTATTTTAATTATCGTTAATGTTAATTAATTAAGTCTAATTAAAAAGAAAATGAATTTTGTAAAAATAGTTATTTATTATAAAGCCAAAGCTTTACGAAAAAGTTGACACTATTTTTTTTAACATATCAATATTTTGAACATAAATAAAAAATGTTAGATTATATTTTTAGCTTAAGAGCAATTATTTTAAAACAGAACCAAGCTTTGAAAGTGGAGTCAATCTAGCGATATTTTGCATATCGGAAGCTTTTGCTGTTATCGTTGCTGTTGGTGGAGTTGTTGAAGTTGTTGCTGCTGCTGGTCGCACCTTTTAGACGGCTGCTTCATTGCATTGGGCTAATAAACAAGCGGCTGGACATTGGACACAAAAACGAAACAGCAGCAACGGCAAAAAGCAAACATTGCACATCCTGTCGGACGGCAGCGAAGTGTTTTTCTTTATTCTTTTTTGTTTATTTTTTTTTGTTCAGTTTTGTCGTACCTCTTTTTGTACTCTACATGTACATTCATGCATGAGTGTCTGCATTTGTGTGTGTGTGTGTGTGTGTGTGTGCTCGGACTTGTATGAACCATTAAATTGAAATTTATGCGGCACTTTGCCGCGTGAAATGTTTGTACAACTCGTTGCGGGCTGCGGCTTTCAAGCCCCACCCCCCTCCTCAGCCAACCCTTCTTCGATTGGCTCTCGGCGTTGACAGAGCGACAAACCGTTAGACAACATCATTTGGAGGGGTTTGGAGTTACAGCTGCAAAACATATGCAAAACTGCCGTGTGCATTCCATGTAAATGCTTTTTTGACACCGCCCTCCCACCACCCCAACCACCCTCGTCGGAAACATTTGCCGCCTAATTTGTCGTTTGTTGAAATTATGACACAAAAGCAGCTCAACGCCTGGCAATTGGCCCGCTTAAAATGAAGCCTTAACCACTTCGCACCCCCCCTTAATATCACCGCAACTATTGTTTTATTGCGAAACGCAACTCAAATATCAGCAACTCATTTTGGTTTTACTTCTATTACCTTCTTTTGGCATTTTTTTTTTTTTTTGCAACAAGTTTTAATTAATTTGCCGCAACTCCAGCCAAATCTCAAACAGCATGTATCCCACCAAATATTTCATCGCTCTCTTTCTCTCTCTATCCCTCTCTCTCTGTCTCACTTTCTCGATGACGAGAAGGGCGCAGAAAAAGTTGATGCTACGATAATTTGAAAAGTTTTCGCTTAGACAGCGACAGTAAAGTAGGTACCTATTGCTACATCCAAACCAAAAACGCTCCTTACTACCAGCTCCGCACTCCGCACCCCGCACAGCGGACAAATCGCTGGCAAGCTAAAAACCTCAGCCCCAAACCAGAACTGGTAACTGGCAACTGGCAAACTATACGAATACGACATGCTATATTAAGCCTCAAATAAATGCAGCGCCATAATTAACATATAGCAAAAGTTTTGCGCCCCTTTAAGCCATAAGCTGACGAAAAACTAGTACACCCCAACCACCACCCACCCTGCAACAGCCAGCAGACACCCACCAAACACATACATTCGCTGACTGATGAAATATGACTCCAAAAAGTTGTTTCAATCTCACTTACTCTCCACACACACACACACACACAAACACACGCATACACACACTATTACAAATGTGTTTTTGCTAGTAGGGGGAGGCTTTGGAAAAGCAATTTGAATTTACAACTTTCGGTTGATTGAGCCAAAAAGTCAGGTATTTGAATGGCTGATAAAGCTGCCTCAATTGCCAATTAATTGGTCGAACATAAGTTTCACATTAATTGCCGACATGTGCCGGCGGTGCATACAAGCCTACATCATTTTAAGATAAGTCTCCGCCTCCTTTTAAACACACACTCACAGACTCACACACACATGCAAGTACGGCAAGTAATTATAGAATTAAATATGTTACAACAACGATGATTGTCGCTTGTGTAATTGGCAAATATTAAATTTCGAATATTGCGAACTGGAATGTGGATTATTACTTTGAGCTTGGCAACAACTTAAAGTTCCTGGAATGTTGCATGTTGACTTAAGCCACACATTTTCTGCCACGTAATGCTTTCAAATTATTATACTTAAGATCTGGAAGCGGTGTGGCATCAATAATTTGGCTTCACTTGATTAAGTTTGCGATAGTTTGGGTCTTTACTAATTGAATTCGTGTCTCAAGATAAACTATAGTTTTAATTAAAACGTCCACAGTTTAAGGTGTCCTGATTTAAGTTGTCCTAACTAATTGGAATGGCCACAAACTGTTTCAACTCAACTTAACTGAAAGTCTCGACAAGTTAATCAACTCAAGTGTCATGACTTAATCGAAACTTAATTAAACTTAACTTAGTAACACCCAGTGGACTTCAAACTTAGCATAAGTTGCCAAGTGCAACGCGTCGCAAGTTGCACACAATAAAAAATGCGCATATTTATCAGATGGAAATTACATAATGGTATTATATTTTGTAATCTAGTTTCATGTTTCTTGGTACTCACGGACTGCATCGACGGGCGCTGGTGTCCAGATAAGCAACAACGTTACAAGGAAGTTGGCTGCAACAAAAGTGGCTGCCATCTGCAAACCCATTATTTTTTTAATATGTATGTATATAGAGCGAGGAGAGAGTCGTGGGTCGTGATTGGTGTTCGAGTTTTGGTGTTGGGGGAGAAATGATGATGTTTTTAGCTGGATGCCAATTGAGAGACAACAATCCAATCTAATATGCAATTGCGTGCGCGCTCTCTCTCTCTCTTTCTCTGTCTCCCTCTGCGCTGGATCAGACTTACTCTCTTTGCTGATGCTCTCGAGCGCTCTCTCGCTCTCTCTCTCTCTCTGTCGCTCTGTCTATCTTAAGAGTGGCGATCGACGTATACGCAACGCTGCACGCGCTGTGTATGTGTGTTAGAGGAGAGGCAAAGAGTTTCGTTTGGGTAAAGTGTTGTAGCAGAAAGTGGTCGTGTGTGTATGTGTGTGTGTGTTTGTGTGTGTGTGTTTGTGTGTGTGTGTGTGTGTGAGTGTGTAAGTGAGTGTATTGTATGTTTGTTTGTTTGTATATATTTTTATAGCATTTAGTTTTATGAACGTTTTCGTTGATAACGCGTTGAAAATGGTTGATTCAATCGTTTGTTAAATACATTTTCGCAAGCCGAAAATCATCGGATATAACAAGATGTGTTAGCAAATGCGATGTCATCATCATTATTATTGGCATGATATGGCGTCAATTGATTAGTAAGTAATACAACATATTTGATGCGTTCAGTGCATGTGTCACGCCCATCGTTTCATTTGTTGTTCGCGTTGTTTACGCATTGTTGGCGTTGTCGTTGTTGTTTTTGTTGTTATAGCATTTGTTGACATTGTGGTTCCAGTTGATGTTGTTGGTGTTGTTGTTGTTGTTTCGGATATGACATCAGGATCATCGTTAACGTTGTTGCCATGTGGAGGGAATCTGTTGTTACTATACGACAGAATTTACCTGCTTACAAGTTGAACTTAATACTTAAAAATGAGCTCTTAACCAATATAAATATATGTATATATAAAGATATGCAGTTTTATATTCTTTGTTTTTTTTTTCTATTTGTTTATTTTTATTGATTTATATTTGATATATTTTTCTTTTTGCTTCTGTTGTCATTTAATACGTTTGCCTGTCGCCTGCAAAAAGAGAGAGTGAAATGTTGTGTGGCAAATATATCCGTTATCCTTTCACAGTCAAAGGACATGCAGTCAATACAAAAGAACAGACCTTTGTGTGTTTATTTTATTTATTTTTTATTTTTTTCTTTATTTTTTCTGCGGTTTGGTGCAAATTCAAATCTATGAAACATTTTAATCCGAAAACCAAAAGATGTTCGAGGCCAAACTATAAATATTATTATGCTTAAAGCATTTGAAAAAGTTGTACAAAAAATAATTGTGCTCTGGGGAGAGAGTTAAAATATACAGAAATTTGACGGCTAAAACGACTTGTTAAAATGCAAGAACTAGCAAAGGTAAGCTAGATTGGCTAAAACTTAGCATATTTTATGCTTAAAGCATTTGAAAAAGTTATAAAACACTAATTGTTGTTGTGCCTTGTGGGTGAGAGAGTTAAAAGTTACCGCAATTTCGTTTAATGGCGGCGAAAATAAACATTTAAATATAGTTAGTGTCTAGAAGTGTAAAAGAACTGGAACTCGTACTGCATATATAAGCCAGATATGTGAATGTGAGCAGACCAATTTGCTGCACTCAATTTAGTTAATCACACGAAAATCACGCAAAACTAGCAAAGAGCACCATGAAAGCAATGTGAAAGGTAAGTCAAAAGCCAATCATTAAATCACCTCAGCCGGGGTGGCCTGAACTATGGGAAGAGGAAGAAGAGGCACAGCCAACAAACGAGAAGAACAAGAACAAGTCTTTTTAACAACTGCTGGCAATTAAATTCAGCTAAAAATGCCTCCAAGTTGGCAACTCGAAACTGCAACTTCTCCAACTGCTTGGAAATCTTTTTTTTTGGTTTTTTTTTGTTTTCCATTTGCTCCTCTTTTTAACTCACACAAATTGAACGGACGTAGGGACGGGGGGTGGGGGACAGACAGACAGGTTGGCAGCCCTGCCAAAAGGTAAATACAAAGTCACTGCGCAATTGCATGAGCTTTGTTACTTTTGATTTCGCTTTTTACGGTTACTTCTTTTTTTCTTAATTTTTTACTGTTGTTTTTAGCTCGGCACCCGCTTTGTTTACATCGGCTTGTAGGCAGCGCCAGAGACGGAGAACGGGAGGGAGAGCGAGAGAGAGAGAGAGAGAGAGAGAGAGAAGGGGCTATAGGGATTGGAGCTGCCCACTTAGCGGCATAAAAACAAGTTAGCTGCAGTCGGAAAACAGGCCGTAGCCGCAGGTGGGCGTGTCCAAGTCCACATATAACAATACATATACACATACACATGTATGTAAGCTTTATGCTCTATATGCACTTGTAAAAATCAATTAAACTTTTCAAGTGAAGTTATAATGGTTGGCAACTCGTTTTTTGTATTTTTGCTTTTTGTTTTTTGCTTTTCTTATTGTTTTCATAGCGTTTGCTTTGTTGCCCGCTTGAGTTCTTGCTGTTGTTGCTGCTCTTGTTGTTGTTGCAGTTGTCAAAAGTTTTAAAATAATTGGATTTTTTTTTATTTGTTGCCTTGGCACTTTTGATGTAAGCACAGGCACGAACAAGCTATGCAGCAAGAACGAGCCCCAAAAAAGAGGGGGAGAGAGAGAGCGAGAGTGAGAAAGAAAGAGAGAGGAAAACATTTAATGCTTACTGCAGTCGTCGTCAATGTTGAGCGTATTACCCAATTTTCACTGAAGTTTTCAACACCAATTGCAAAACGTCAACAAAAACAACATCAGAGAAGAAGCAGAAAAAACCGCTACTATGGGGGCGTGGCCGATCAGCCGCCCACAATGACTCGTGCAAAAGAGCCGGCAGCAGCTTGAAGTGCCTCTGGTTGAGCCGGCTGGTCGCGTTCCCCGTTGATTTAATGGCTTTTATGCCACACAGCTTGTCATTATCGAGCGCAGATAAAAATAAAGGCCACAAATTGCAAATGCAGCACATAAATATACACATACATATATATATATATATATATATACATACTTATATATAAACAAAGGCGCTTGCATAATAGGTGCTTTCAACACAAGTCAAAGCGGTAGATCAACGATTGCCTTGAGGCAAAACACAAAGCTGCTAATCATTGGCAGTCGATAATTGACAGCGTTTGATGAGAGATATGCACAATTTATGGAGTGTCTACTGTACCATTTCGATATCGACAGCCAGACAGAGTAGTAAATTGCAAATTGAATCAAATTTTGCTAGTGAAATACTACCTTATGAGTAAAACTTATCTCAGCGAAGAATGTGCTGTTCGCAAGAGAACGACTACGAAATACCCTGTGCCCAAGTCTTGATTTTGTTCTATATTTTGATATATAAATAGAGTGAGGAAAATTAATTTATTGTGCAACAAAAAAAGTGGCTTTCTGCATCGCTGATATATGCACTGATCGATCAATAAGAACATTGCATGACAAATGCACCATTTAATAATTAAAAATCGATATTTGCACGATTTGAATTGTTTGCCAGATAATAAATCATAAATCCGGAAATGCAGAAATTTCACATTTGACTTGAAATTTGTTTCATAGGTGTGCGGATTACTCAATTCTGTAAGTTTCTCAATCGCATCAGCGAAGTGAGCAGTGCATTTAAGCAATGTGGCAACGCTGCTTAAATACACTGCCTCAAATCAGTCAAAGGAATTAATGGTCCAAAGTCTTGAAGCAAAAATAAGAATTCTAGAAAACCAAATTGAACTAATCAATGAAGACAGATAGAGTCGTAATTGTGATAATTGCAGAAAAGTACCCATGCCAATCAGGAAGATGTTAACACAAAACAGACACAAATATCGCGCTTAAATTCTCTAGCTAAAATCAATACTAAAGATTTGTATAATCAGAAAAAAAAAAGACTAAGACAGAAAAGCTTTTAATCGAATCCCAGGAAATCTTATATTAAGAGCAACTTGATTTGTATATTAGTTAAAAAGCGTTAGTTAATATTTGTTTTGAATCTTTAGAAATGGATATGATATGGGAAACAAAGCTGCCTCGATACCTTTAAGAGAACACTTATTATTTTAGTATGTCTGATTGGAGGCGACCATCTTTTCCCTGCGACCTCAAAATGCTTAACAGCTTTAATGAATTCAAAGAAGATCGTAAGCATATATTAAGTAAACTGCATTAATTTAAGAACATAACAAGATATTTCTTAACTTTTCTCATTGCTCTTATTTTAGTTTGCCCACTGACATTTGTACAATTGGTCAAAAGAGAACTGTTTGGTAAAACTTGCTAACGTTTTCTATCTTTTGTTTCTGTCAATTAGGCTAATGACATCTGATAAAGCAACCGCTCGCTATATATGTATAATAAATAGCATTAACAGGACAATAAAACAAATGTCACCAATGGTTAAGGTTGACAAGCAGTAAAGCTTAAGCTGCCACACAGGGCGTATGCGTGTTATGAGTGTCTCTAGAAGAAAATATGGCATCAAAGGTTCATTTAAATTTTGTTTTCATAGAGCGAACCAAAGAAGCAAAAGCAACAGCTTTTATGAAAGAAAGCACACACACAAATACATATATATGTATATATATAGTCAAAATAGGCGAGCGTTTCTAGGAGGGGAGAGGGAGGAGTGTTGGTTAAGGAGTTTGAGCCAGCAGTCGTTGATGCTGCTTTTCCCAGCTGTCGACTCAATGGCTGCAATTTTTTCACTTTATTTTTTCGCCGTTTTTTCTATATTTTCTTTGGTATTTTTGCGTTATTTTTTTTTTGTGTTGCTCTTTGGGTCTAATAAAAACACTTGACACCGAAACGAGGAAAGTTCCTTAAACAAAGTGTTTGGGCGAGACTGGGAGAATGCCCGAAATGAGACGAAGAATGTTGAAAATGAATGTAGTGAAGCAGAGAATGGCACAATAAGTGAGATTCAGGCAACGTTGTGAGTGTGTCACACTCTGTGTGTGTGTGTGTGTAAGTGTCTTCAATTTTTTAAAGCCAGCAGCAGCAAATAAGCTGAAAAATGTTAGACATGTCAAAAGAGTCGGCTGTCGACAACTGTAAGAACTACTACTTCATCAGTTGCTTACAGTTGAGATGCAGTAAGATGGAAGGAAGAAAGGAAGGAATAAAGTCCTTTGGGTCTTTAATCTGGTTGCTAATACGACAAACTGAAACTGAAACTGAAACGACATAACTGAGCTGCTTTTGCTTGGCTTAACTGCAAATTATCTCTATTGCAAACAATCAATGCTGCAAAAAGTAGTAGTAGCTACAGCTACAAAAATAAGGGGCAGTCGTTGGCCAAAGGATGTGAAAGGATGCCACTGGATGCCTAACAATAAAAAACGCCAGCACAAAATAATAGCAGCAACGGCAGCTGTCAAAGAACATGAAAAAGGACAAAGACAAAAGTATTTGCAGTTTTAATGCGGCAACTAAAGGTTTTTACCTACCCACGCCCGCATCCCCCCATCCTCCATCCCTAATCCTGGCCCCTTCTTAACCCAGATTTGTAATCAAAAATCCATTGCATACTTTTTTTGTGTTGCGTGCGAGTTTTGCTGGCTTTGAAGCGTTTCACGGAGATCGAATACAAAGTGAAAGCAAACTTTTGGGCGGTTTTTGTGAGAACTTTGATGAATAATTGAAATGAGTCAACTAAAATGACTATTGCGTAACAAAAATAATGCAAATTCGATGGGAAAACACAGAAAAGTGTCATTTATGCAGGTTTCAATTTAAGCCTAAGTAACACACAGCATTAAATCGACAACAAATGAATCCATTAACAAATGACAGCAATAAAATTATATTCATTTACTGTTGAGACAAAAATAATTGAATAATCATATCTAAACATATTTATATATTATTTACGCTCAGCTAATGTGCTCTGCCAACTCTTTTATAGATAATCAGAACTGTTAAAATCTAACGAGTTTATTTTATGTCCAATTAAAACAGCATTTTTTTGTTGAATGACAAAAACGGAAAAAACAACTTTGGCTGCGATAAGGAGTATATCTGTATCTATATATATATATTCTATGTATGTATATGAATTGAACCATTTGAAATGCACTCAGCGAAGAAATTTAAGTTACATCAATCATCGCAAGTTTGATTTTGCACTTGGTTTTTGTTTGCCAAGTTCTCGTTTCGAGTTACACACACAAACACAATTCACAGCCGGGAAATTCACGTTTTGGCATTTTCACAGCATCTTGTGCTGTCTGCACATCCAAACTGTGTCAATCTATAGCGCATCCCTTTGGCCGAGCACAAAACTTAAGCCCAATGTCCAGCGCAAACAATTCAAGGACCAGCAAAAAAAAAAAAAATATCTATATAAAAAAGAGGCAAGAATTTGGAATCAACAGAAAAAGGCAGCCCAAAAAATCACAGCTCATAGCGCAGCGCCAAAAGCGATTTGGGCCGCAACACAGAAACACACACACACACACACACAGAGAGAGGCAGGCAGGCACACGTATAAAGTGGACAGTTGAAGTTTGCCGCAAACGTGCTGCTAGATTCGCTGTCCACAAAACAAAAGCAGGAAATTTCGGGCGTCAATCGCTGCGACACGCCTCCTCCCGCCTCCCTCTCCCTCTCCTCGTCACTCAACTCTCTACCACTTGCCTAACTACAAACTGCCAAAGCTGTTAACCGTCGCTTTAAGCCAAAAGCCCGGCGAACAGCTCAAAATTGTTGTGCCGCTCGTAAAAGCCAAAATGAAAATAGATAAAAAAAAAAGGAATAAACACTCACACACACACAAAATACGCACACACACACGCACATTCACGCATAGAAAAGCAACTTCATTTTGTAAATCAATTGAATTTTCAATTGTGTGCGTCGAGAGCAACAGCAACAGCAACAACAATATAGCAAAAGAAAAAAAAAGGAGAAGGTAACATAAAAGTCAATGGGGGCACAAATAAAGGAAACGACACTATTACCCAGGACCAACAGCAGCAGGACAATGACACAGGACAACAGGACAACAGGACACAAGCAACACCAGCAACAACAACAAAAAATACAGAAGCGATTTTGATTTTGGGTTAGTTTCCCTCCCCCTCCACCCCCCTCCTTTGCACCCTTTGCCAATTGCTGTGAAAATCGCTTCGTTTTGTTGAGCCACTTTTTTGTCGAGGGGATTTGCCACAAGAAATACTCTCAGTTTGAGCATTGCATAAGCAAATGAAGCGGAAACTCTAAGAAATTATGTCCCATTTAATTGCATATATACATATATATACATAATAATATATATATCTATATATCTAAATGAACCACACACAAAAATCTGTTCTTGTTTTAATTAATCAATCAATTTTTTTACCAGTTTTTTGTTTGTTTTTAGGCCTTTACTTAAATTAGTTGTTGCGGCATTTTGGGCCAAAATAAAAGTGTAACCAAATTAAACCCGTTAACCGGCACGCGGTAAACAACGAGGCGACGCGTGGCATGCGTTGCCGGATGGGGCGGGGCGGGGCGCGGCGGTTGCGCGATTTGTGTGGCAAGTTTGTACCGAACAATAACCGAGGCAAGCCGAAGATGTTTTGACGGCTTCAGAATTCAACTATTAAGCGAAAAAAGAACAACTAAATTTTACTACACTTGACATGGATTTCCCGTTATTATATTTGGTATATAATTTTTTAGCTATATTTATTTTTTTTAATTTTTTGTAACTTATATTTTCTTGCTGTATTTTGTTGTTGTTGTTGTTGTTGATTTTGTCACACACAGCGCGCTCAGTTTCTTACAGGCTCGTTACATCCTGCCAAATCCCGAAATTGTACTAAATACGTACAAAACTTTTACGATTGGCCAAGGCTCAATGCCAGCCGCTGCGAACAGCTCGCGCTTGTGTGTGTGTCTGTGTGTCAGCGTGTGTGGCGGCCGAACAGAAACGACGAGCGTCATTTGGCGCTCGTGAGCGCTTAACGACGAGTGGCTGAGTGGTGAGTTTCGTGCGAACAACGAAGTCCAAATGGCACGAAGCCAAATCAGCTCAATAAAGCTAACTAACAGCAAAGAGCGAGCGACAGTAAGACAAGAGTTCAAATAAAGCTACTCAGTGAATGCAGAGATAGCACTCAACTGATGCAAAGAGCAGCATTTAATGGAGCCAACTAAGCAGCTCAAAGCAGCAGGACAGTAAGCACTGAAGAGAGCGGACAGCACAGCGGTTGAGTGGAAAATGAGTTGAGTTCAAGATTAAGTGTAACTCAATGCCTGAGTGACTCAAGGAAACTCAAAAATCAGATTCCTCAGACACTCAAATGTGAGAGTAATACGAAATTAGAATAATTTTATGAATATGATAAAATACAACAATATGTAACAAAATTATTTATAAAGGACAATTTTATATTATCAAAAAAATATATATTTATATATACATAAATAATTATAATATTCAAAGTATACTCAAAGAGCATAACTTGCAGCTAAAGTAAGCCCAAAAATGTTGCTCCAAATTAAGTTATTTGACATAACTTAGTTCATATATAAACTCACTGCATCAAAAGAGCAATTCAAACTAAACTCAAGAACAGCTAACTACACCAAACTCAACTCAATTGCAAGCAGAGTAAATTGCATGCTCAACATCTCTTTGAGCGGACTGTGTAAGAGTGAAAGAGTAGCGCTCAAGTTATTGCAGATGGCAAATAACTCAAAGCTGAACTCAAATGCGGCTAAGAGCACTAAACTGCACCTGACAGACAATGGCTCCAAACTCAACTCACTGGTAAGCAGCGTAAATATAAAGCACAATTTCTCTTTGAGCTGACTGTGCAAGAGTGGCAGAGTGTAGAACTCAGTTGGCAGGCAGCTCAAACCTGAGCTCAACTTGGTATCTCTTTTTGGACAGGCGAGTGAAAGTAAATGCTAACTCAACACACAATAGAAAGCAAATCAAAACTCAACTTGAGCCAACGCCGCGTAAAAGCTTTCGGCAAACGAAGTGCGCACATTCGGCTCGTCGTTCATTTGCTGACGTTCGTGCGTGGGTGAATTTGCGAATCGTTTCAATTCACACGGTGCCGTAGCCAAGCGTCGTCAGTCTTCAGTGGAGCACCGTGCTGTGTGCTAAAAGCGGCAGGTGCAAAATACAGGCGAGCCACGCTGCCCACGCTGTTGTTGCCATTGCTGCTGCTGCGCCAGCTAATTGTGTTGCATACTTTTTGGCGCGCGCGTTGAGCTGAATGTGAATGTGAAATGTGACAGAAACAGTGACAGTTGAACAGTTGCAAACAACAGCAGCAGCAAGAGGAAAGCCAAAACAGACGCTACAATTCAGTGTTGTAGTTGCGGTCCTTGGCAGTGTGTGTGTGTGTGTGTGTGTGTGTTCGTCCTGCTCGCTTGGCCCCAGGAGACATTTAACATAATAAAAACGAACGTGTGCGGCATTCTGTTGCTGTTTTTGCCAAGTTTTTGTAGCTTTGTTGGTTTTGTTTAATGCTAATAACACACAGATACAACAAAACATATACAGATATATGGGATAGGACGCACAGTTAGTAGAAACAATATTGCAAATGTGTGTGCGGCACAAGGCGAAAGCAGTTGGCAAAAGTGTCGTAAATCGTTTAGACGGCAAACGTGGCAAGCGCCCAGGACACGGACACAGGACACACTCACAGATCCCTTGCCAGGACGATATGTAAACGACAATGCCAGCGTGGGAAAAAAACACACAAACACACACACACACACTCACACGCATACATACAAACAAATACATATATAAATGAAAGAAACTGCGAACGGAGCAACGCCACAGGATGCTGCTTTCTGATAGCGAATGCTCCTTTGCACACAGTTCATGTGAGTATAAATATCCTGTGACCCCAACCCAAGCCCATTCTCCCCATGAATGAACTTCATAACGATTTCTGGTTTTCTTTTTTTTTTTTTGCGCGCATTTTTATGAGGTTTTAACGTAAATTCGAATGTTTGAATTAGGCAGTCAGAGAGTGCTGAGACCTGAGTCCCTCAGTTCTTGCCACAGTTGGAGGCGTGATAAATTTTTATGTGTATGTGCGCACCCAAATAAACACACACAGACACACAGAGTGAGATTGTCGGGGTGTGCCGACCTATAAAGCCAACGGCCATAAGGCCAATTAAAGTGCGAGTGCAGAAATCAAACTGATTAATTCGCCAGTTTGAATGTTATACATGAACTATACATGTACATATATATATATATATATATATAATGGCATTTTTAGTGTCCTTCGCTGTTGGACAAATGATTTGGTGGCTTTTATTTTTGATTTATCGCTGACATTAAAGTGACAGAAAATGCATGTTAAATCAGCCAGTAAAAACAAGTAAGAGTTCAAGTCCAGCACATTCCCAGCACATTTTTTTCTTAACATTTTGTAATGTGTTTCACAAATATTTCATGGGAAAAATTTAATGTTTTTAACAGAATAGTTTTGTTTGGTTAATTTCAAGTGCAGCAAACTGAATTTAATTAATGTTGTCACTAGTCACTAAGCTAATAAATTGTGAATTGTTTTTTGACCTCTTTTCCATAATTAAAATATTTTAATTGTAAACTTAATAAATATAAATTAATTTTATGATATAATTATGTCAGTTTAAGATGTAGAAATTTAGCAAATAATTAAAAAATAGGCATTCAGATTGATCAGCATTTCTATTCAAGTTTTAATAAAGCTACAACTTCAAGTCATTTTTATACCAATTACTTTACTTTACGATTGTGTTTCCAGAAAAATATTAAATTAAACAAAACAGTCAACAAAAGGGATTGTCAGTTTCTAAATCATATTTTTTTTCTGCTTTTGGCAACGCTTTTGCATTCCCATTTATGGTTGTTCATTACTACAGGGTAAATTGAGTTTCCATTCGATTTGCAAAAAATAAATATAATTTTTTATTTTGCATGTATATATAAATGTAGATTCCCATGCATTTCTAGCCGTTCACAGGCAGAGAAACGAAACAGATACGTTTTCATATTTTCGGCTCTATTTAGAAGTCAAAAATGCAAATTTGCGGATTTGCCACATGAATTCCGCTGGAATTTGCAGAAATAACTCTAATATTGTGTGAAAAAAGGAAATATAATTGGATAATATGTTTATATTCATAATGCAATTGAAAAGGCAGCAAAATCTGCATGATGAAAACTAAATTTCCGCACTGAAAACCAGTTTGCAGCGAATATTCATCGCAGACAAATCTAATAAATGTTTATATTTTATTTTATTTGTCTTTTAGATGCACAAAGTGCAGAAGATGCAGTTAAGAAAATCAACAATGAAAATTTAATATAAATGCTGAAAGGCCGATAGGATCCTGGCAATATTAATTTACATCAAATATAAAGGTAAGTTTCTCCAAGCTTTAAGATATGCATAAGTTTGATATACATTTTGCAGAGCATTCCAATTTTGTTTGTGTGTTGAAATTGGAATAGGAAAATTTATTAAACGATTTCTTTCATTTTCTTTTTTTTTTATTTTATTGTTATATTTTTGCTTTTATCACGATATGAGAAAATGATTTAGATATTATAAGAAATTTATCTTAATGTAATTATTTTTTCTGAACAGGTGACAAGGGTTTTTCTTTTAGGTTTCTATTGTATTATATCATTTATTTTATATATTTACTTTTCTTTCACTTTCATTTTAAGTTTTTAATTTATATTTTTCAAAATTTTCATTTTTATTTATTGCTGTCAGTCAAATAAATAATTCAATAAAATTCATTATATTCATTAATGAGGTTGTACAAAACCAAGCCAAATTTTTGTTTCGAAAAACTCTTTTTTTTTTCGTTTGCATATACATAATGTGTTCAAGCGAAGCACTTTTAAGAATTTGAGTACATCATAAAGACAACTGCTAACCATATCTATCCATCATGGTTAGTACTCATAAAATGCCCAAGCTAAGCACCTTTTAAACCAAACCAGCAGGTTCTTACAGTTGGCCAAACTGCTTCCGGTATACGCAAAAACAAAAAGCAAAAAGCTAAGAAGGGAGAGATGGAAATAGCTTTTTACGATTTTGTTGTTCCATTAAATATGGCCGCATTATGTCTGCATTTTTATGCGCTTAATCCTTTTTAACTGGCCCGCTATAACGCTCTTTGTTTCTGTAACTGAACAAACTGTCACTTTGTGACAATAATGAAAACTTTAGCACAACAACAAAAAAGCCACCAGAAGGGAAACAAATATAAATTCGCCGAGTTAAGTCGTAAAAATCTGTAAACTGCGTAGTCAACGCAACAAGCAAATGCACTCAAAATACAAAAAACAAAAAAAAAAAAAAAACAAGATCGTTGCAAGCAAACAAATCTATAAAAGAAATGAGACAGCTAAACGTGTCAAAAAAGATAAGCAGCAAAAAGAAAAAAAGAAATAACAGGAACAACAAATGCTGCCACCAAATGTGTCCCTTGCATTTTGCAGCTGCAACTTTACGAGCTGAATGGAGTTTACAAGAGGGCGGCTGGGCGTAGTTGCAGTGTCATAAAAGCATGTGGCACGTTGCTTTGGCCATTTGATGTTAGTATTAATTTGCTGAGGTAACTTGCCCGCATGCCAACAGAATAAAGACAGAGCCAAAGAAAAGGGGGCCAGGGGCGAGGGGCGAGGGGCGAGTGGCGAGAGGCAGGGAAACAGCAGCTCCTGCAGGCTCATTATGCATGCTCGTCCGCACGTTGTGCTTTGAGGCACACACACACACACACACGAACAAGGACCTGCTCGGCAAGTTCTAGCAATTTCATTTTCAATTGACTGCCGACCAGAACACGCAGCCAGTGTTGGCTAACCATCGGCAATTGAGCGCATGAATCGCCTCAAGAAAGCAGCCAACACAAAAACCGCTCAAACATGCAGTTCCGAGCTCAACTAGTCAATCGAATGTGAGAACTACCAGTAGTAGTTTAAACTAAGCAAAACTCACGTTCAATACTAAGTATATCAAATCTGTACAAATACACTTTTTTCTTCTACGCTTATAAAATTGGAGCTTAGAAATCAATTTTATATTATGCAAAACAAAAAACAAAATATATATTACCCATAAATATATTTATACTTTTTATGGTTATAAAGTTAGTTTAAGTCTAGCAAAAATTACAATCATAACACTAATATAAAATATTAATATTGATAAACCTTATTTCTTCAATGGTTTTAAAATTGGAGCCGTTTGTTGTAAGACATTGCATGATATTATATTATGTGACACTAATTTTTAGTTTTTTTTTGTACTTGCTTACAATTCCAAAATGGTAATTGTAATTTTGAATTAATATATATATATATATATATATATATACTATACGCATATTAGAATTAGCTCATTTGCTAGAGTACACTGTAGTTCAAGACACGAATCCTTTACTTTCATTGCGTTTCCTTTTTGCTGAAGCTACTTATTCGATTTCAAGTGTGTGTGAATGTGTGTGCCTTGCGTATATATTGGGTTATCCCCAACATTTTGCAACATATCAGGGAGATAAAGAGATGGTTAGGTGGAGGTTGTGGTGAATGGGGGGCCGATTGCAAAGTTTTCTGCGAAATTACGCAGCACAGACACGCACAATTCATTTGCAAATAGAACAGTTTAATTTGTTGCCTTTTGTGCTCAGCTGATATCCTTCTTTGGCACATGTCCGGGTCCCAAAGAAAAGTTACAAATGAAAAAGGAAAAGGAGCGGCTAGTAGGGGTCTGCCCGCATATAACTAACATACTCGCACAAAGGCAACGACGAGATTATTTTATGAACGAGCAGAGAGGATTGCATTACAGCTGCCGAAATAAAGGCACTGCCCATAAAACAGAAAACCATTCAGTAGTCACACACACACACACACACTCACTCAGTAATTACGAGTTGCAGGCCCTCCCTGTCCAACGGTGCCCAAGAACTGTTTGCTAAGCAATTCCAATTCCATCCAAGTCTAGACACTTGAAAGCCTGCCTCAATTCTGCATTGGCAAGTAAACTTCCTCCGTTCGCATAATGGCCAAATCATACTTTCAGCAGAGCTTAGATTTGTGGCCAAAAGAACTGGCAGCACTTGACAAATGAGCCAAAGAGATCGGAATCGGAAACTGGAAAGGGAACGGGAACGGGAACGGGAACGGGAAAGGGTTGACCCACAATGGCGGAATGGCGGAAATGCGATATACGATATGCGAAATGTGCTTAACGCCATTTTGCTGTGGCTTATTGCCCACAACTTTCGAAAGCATTTTGATTTATCGAGGAATCGAAGAGCATAGGGAACATATTTTTGAGTGTATATATAAACATAATAGCATATGACATATGTCGATGACTTAAGTTCAACTTAAAAAGTTTAAATGATTGAGCTCTCAACTTGGCTTTGGCATTTTAGCCCAGCGCTTACTTTAAGAACCGTGAAATTCTCTTGACTAAAAATATCTGTCACGCAACTTTTGAATAGCTTTAAGCAAAGGTTTAAAGACTAGTCATATTTGAATAAAAAGGAATAAAGGAAAGAGGACACCTTGTAAAACTAGGTAGCTAAAACAGCAACGGAATCTACCGATTTTGTGACAACGAGGAGGAATCCACAAAACACATCACAGCAGATGGCGTCGTCTTGGCCAAAAAAAGATGCAAACACGGCTTAAGCTCGACAAGCATAGAAAAAGTTAAATTCTTGAATTGTCTGAAGTCCTACAATAATAATAATAAGTGTACAGAGAATAGAAGAAGATGCTTTATTTAATATATTTGTCAGAAACGACCTTTTAGCTTCTCAGTTGTATAGGAGTTTTTTATTATTCAATTTGATGTCATAATTAATTCGATTTGGGTCCAAAACCTTTTTAACACACAATCAAACACAGGCAACTCAACATGTACCTGAATATATAGATTTTATTTTATGATATTATTTAGCTAAACAAAAAGAAGCAGAAGACTACAGCAGAGCCTTTCTTATTGTTCTTTTTGCATCGGGTTATCATCATTTTCATCGCATAAACGTTTTTATGGTTATAGCCCGCATATTATTTATATACCTGCAACTTTATTGTTTTAAGCATTCAGCTTGATTTATAAAGCCACTGCATATCTTTATATACTACATTATCAAGTTAAGACTTTTTTAAGTAATAAGTCAAGCGATAAGTGCACACTACTCACGTTATTAAATGTCGCCATAATTGCCCAGCTCTGTAGTTGTTCTTGTTGTCATCAAAGTCTGCTGCAGATTATGCGATTCGAACGGCGCTCGTGAAGCTGTAAGAGAAACACAAAAATAAATATATTTGATTAGACTTAAGCCTTGCTCAATAAAAATATAAACATTTGGCTAACAATAAATTTCGTTTTTATTCTTATTTTGCAGAAAATGACTGTGGACCTTGGAATCTCTCTCTGACGTTGCAAAAGCCTCCCAAACATATTGTAATTTATTTCGTTTAAAAATAATAAATAAATTTTGTATGAGCCGCAACAATAAATATAAAAATATTGCTATAAATAAACCAATTTTCGATCAAAACTGTCAGTCAATAAAAAAAAAAGAGGGCGGGCAGTTTAGAGAACAGAGTATGCCTGTGGTCGGGGCATGCTGCGGCATTTATGGGCACAAAATGATTGTTATTATACCTTCTTATTATTATTATTGTTATCAAAGCCAATGTCAAGAACCGCCGGAGTCGAAAGGCCCACAGCGGGCAACGGCAAAAGCCAGCAGCCGGAAACGGCGACAGCCAAGAAACGTGCCAAGCATAAGGACACCCAATCACCCAAACGCCCACCCCCTCATTGCCACCCCCGCTAAGTTGCCTACACCTACACTCGACTTTGTCTGTGCCGTTGTGCTGTGTGTCGTGTACAAAAATTTATGTTTTGTTTGCTTATGCAGTGCTTTGTGAACTGTTCTTTCCCCTGCCACATGCCACATTGCTTTCTTTTCGTCGTATTTCTGCACCACCTGCACATACGTAGCGCAGTAGCTCATGCAAATTTATACACCTGCCCGGACGCCATAATAAATATTCACCAAAAATATCTCATTTCAGCGCCTTTTGCCTACCCGCTTTTCGCTGGCTTGTCACGTGTCGGCATCATTACCGCACGTAGCGACGTTATTTATACAAAATGTATACCGTTTATAGCGAAAACCAACCCCCCCAAAACTCTTCGCATCTCCATTGCCAATTCAACAGCCCCGCAATAAGAAAACAACAAAATACATAAATAAAGAATAAATGTATGTTTATTGCATGCACTACAATTATTTATGTAGCAGCGAACATTATATACACTTCTAAACATAATTCCTAAATTCATTAGAAGACAGCATCAAAATCAAATCAACATAGACATTTTTAAATAAAATAAAAATCGAATTGAAAGGACATGAATAAAAATAAGAAACATAAGAAATAAATAATAACTAAAGCAGAAGGAATCACCAGTTCATGATTAATCAAACTCAGCTCTATCAATAATAGACGAATAAATGCTTAAATACCTATCTCTATCAAAGCGTTACGCATTTTGCGACAAAGTTAGAGTACCCATTGTAAGGGTATTAAAATAAAAAAGGAAATAAGAAAATGTAAATCATTTGGCTGTTTATTATACTTCCTTCTTCTTTTTTTTTTGTTTTTTTTTTTTTGGTCAGAGCAATTTTGCTAATTGTTCAATACCATATGCGGAGCTGTTGTCGCTTGAAAGCTTTGTCGCTTTCCGAGCAACTCCTTTGGGGCATGCAATTTACGACACATGTGCACGGCCGAGTAAACCCAGAAACTAGGCAACCAAACATGGCTAAAATGTCGGAGTAGAAGCAGCAGTTCAGAGCGTTCCAGTTAATTTGTTGACAACTTAGTTACCCAACACTGAATGAAACACACAACCGTACCAAACTCCTGAGGGGCTACAAGACAGAGTCCATACACAGCAGCATCCAGCAGAGGAGAAGCAATTGACCAATGTGGACAACTTAAGGCCCAGACAGCGCGCAATTGTAATTAGTGACTATGGTAATAGTTTCAGGGGAGGGTAGAGCATAGAGGGATTCGGTAGCAGACTCGTTCCACAGTTGTTGCGCAATTGGTATGGTATTTAATACGTATTCTATGAATTTCCAAAGACAATTGGGAGAAGTTGAAAGATTCTAAAGATAGAAAATAAGCAAATAATGTTTGAAGTTTGTGTTTAAAGTTCTAATGAATTCAAGTGAATTGATTTATTTAAAAATAGTTCTAAATTAGACCTCAGCTAAGTGACATGTGATAAACAAGTATAAATGATTTGGTGGACTGGGACTGACTCGACTGGGAGAATCCAGTTGTTATTTCTTCTCCTGATGAAGAATATATATACCTTATGCGGTCGGAGATGCTTCCTTTTGCTTGGGTATATAAGTATATAATTTTTGTGCATATATATATATATATATATATATATATAAATACATATGTATACATCAACCTCAAGCTCCTGACTATAACACTACCTACATTTTATCTATATCCATTCAATCGCTCAATATTTCTTTATGTCATATCTGTATCTTCTGCGGCAGCATCCATTTACGCAACTTCCGGTTTGTAACAAGCACCTCATTATGTTGACAACAAATCTGACGTCAAGCTGCCATCTTGCAACTCATCATTTGGCAGAAATTTCGTGGCATGTCCTCAGGCCTCCGCAATCTGAAACACACACATAACTTAAGATCCCGACAACCGCATTTCCCAGTGATTTGATTATCAATTGTCCAGCACGAGCAAACCCCCCAGATAAAGAAAATAATATTGATGTTCACCATTTCGTTTGTTATAAATACAATTTAGTCTTCAATTTTCAGTTGGTTTCGCTGCTGCTTCTGCTGCTGCTGCTGCCACTTTCGCTGCCGAGATGTCAAATTTCAGCGTCAACTAATTGGGTTTCGACGCTCGTCAAAGGAAGCAAACAACCAACAGAAAAAAAAGAAGAAATACAGAAAAACGAATATTGCCAGCAGGTGGGGATAAATATGGAAGAGAAAAAGATTAAATTTCCTTGTTACGGCTTATAGCTGAGAAGAAAATGAGGAAAGCGACAAAAATGAAAATAAATATTGAATTATTGAAATACAATACATATTTAATACATAAGAATATCTGTGTCTGTGTCTGTGGATGTGTGTGTGTGTGCACATTATATATACATGCGCTAAGAATATATCTCTGTATAGAGATGACAGAATGGAATTCCATATGTATATTTGTATTTACTTATCAAAGGGTTTCTTTTGCTTTTTTGGTAAAAGCCTCATTTAAAATGCAGCTGACAATTTGCGTTCGGCAGCTCAAATCATAAATTTTTCATAAAAGCCGCTCAAAATGCGTTGATGTATTGAAAAAACAGACAGCAGCAGCCGCTTTGTGCCTTTCTACGCGCTCCACAGCGTCTTGGCTTGTTGCAGAGCGCTCTGCGTTTGAATATCGCCTTTGTTTTGACAACTTTTGAGAGTTGCAATATTCAGGATACAAATACAAATATTATTTATTTTATTTAACATTCATATTACTAAATTATGTCCTTGTGAATTTTCATTTATTAAAGTATTTGATTTATTATCAAAAACATAATTTTTTTTCAATTTATTACTGCAATTTTTCTTAGCTGTCAAATTGCAAGCGAAATCGTTTTCGAGAACAACCGTGTACTGTATTTAATTCCCTTATTTTCGCGCTCCGCTCAGCGTATTGTCAGCGCAAATATTTGTTTGTTTGTCTTTTGACGTAAGACGCAGGCACCCCAACCACACAAGATACACAGTAACAGGCCCCGCCCCAACTCCCCACAAGTCACTGTTACCAGGGCCGGCTCAGCGGGGGGCGGGCGGCTTAGGACTAGGGCTTATTTCGTTTTACGAGAACGCGCTCTGGACCCGGTCTGAGCGCAGGCAATATTTTGCATGTTTGCATACAAAATATCATATTTGCTGAGATTGTTTCATTAAAAAAAAAAATACACGCAGTCAGGCAGGTGGTGCAGGTGGTGTTGCCTAGACCCAGCAACAACTACCTTTGGCTATGCTAGTACGTGTTTAGCTTTAGCACCTACACACACACACACACACACACACACATAAGCACACACGCATACCACATATTACCAAACAGAACGGTAAGTGGCGCACTGAGAAAATTGGTTTTGCCACGCACCATGCCAACCGAAAATATAATATCTGTAAGCGCAGAAAGAGAATCCCCTCCCCTCATGAGGAGGAAACTGTTTTCGGCTAGTTGTGTATGCCAAACAGGTGGACCGCTGTTGTGCCCATAAAAGTGTACTCACTTCCCACATTCCGTATTGAAAAGACATAAAGCCTAAAAGCAGCCAAAAGAGTTTTTTCATAACAAAAAAAGGCAATCTCAACAGCAAGCAAAGCTATAAAACTTTGGGCTATATATAATATAATATAAATTCTACACAACCACATCTCTATATATATATATAAATATGTAAGTTTTCGTCATTTCTTCTGTATGTTATTTATTTGTCAAGTCCTTTTGATTTTTTACTATTTAAAAATAAATATATATTTCATTCATACATTCTACCAAAGAATATATTTTCACATGTCGACTCCAGTCTAAAAATAAATACAAACAAAAAAATGCTCCACTCTAGTATTAATATTATCTGTTAAGAAGTTGATTCAATTTGTTTATTTTACATTTTGTTCTGCTCGCTGTTGAATTCAAATCAAAAGCATCTGCTTGCAACTTGTTAGCTTTTATCCAAAACTTATGCCATCAAAATATAGATAGCGATTTACAACTTTTACCTTACGTCCGCCCACACTGGCACATAAAACACGGAATAAACATTAACTTTCCATTTCAGTCAAGCTGTCAACAGTCCAGTTGCTGGCCAAAAACCATTCCCTCCAAACACCCCTACCTATCCCTAATTCACTATTCATGGACTTCGACTGCACTTTGTTTCCTTTCCCCTTTCCAACTCACACACACCACAGAGTTACTCAATTATTTCGTTGACATTAAGCACATAAAAATACAAATAGATGACACCCAGCTATGGCTACAGCAGCAACACAAACAACAACGAAAAAAGGGACCACAACGAGTTCTTATAATGGTCCCCACTCTACCCCCATTGCCAACGAACAGGCAGCGATTTGTCTGCAGATACCTTTTTTGCCTAGGCCAAAAGGACACTCGTTTTTATCGCAGATTAAGTGCGACATCGTCATCTAACGTCTACCTTCTACCCTTTACCTTCTGCTTCTGCCGCCCATCGTCCAGTGGTCCCATAGTATGCCTTAGTTAGACCGAGTATTGTGCTGAAATGTGCTTACAGCACATTAATTTCTTGCACCTGGCATTAAGATAATTGTCGGCCTTTGTTTAGGATACAAGATACAAGATAATCGACTCAGTTCCTCTGCCACCCCAAAACACTAGAAGGGGAATGACAA